ATAATTTTCTACTAAGTAAAAATTCCGAATTAAAAATCCGCTTTATTATTCAAAATTCCAGTCTGGTAGCACTAAGTTGTATGTTATTTTGCTATCTTATTCATCGTTTATATAAAAACTTTAACAATAAATTATAAAAGAACTATAGGGTTGCTAGAAAAAAGGGGGGTAGTTTTGAAATCAGGGGGTCCTATTCTACCCCCCCTCATCCCCCCTTTTTCTAGAATTTGCCGTCCGTCTACTAAAATTTTCCCTTTTTCGGAAATATTTTGGGGGACGTCTTAAAATATAATAAATTTTGTAATCCCAACGGAAAAACCGCATCTTTTTTTGGTGATGCAGTCTAATATACATGTATGTATTGTATGTTCCTTATGTTTTTATATATGCTTAATTTGTTAAATGGTCTATCAAGTCGATTGACCGTGTATGTTCTTGTGATGTGATTGTACCAGCTGCTGGTGAGACTTCAAAAACTATTTGAAAATTTTATGATTGGTACCAGCATGCTGGTGTCTTGAGTGCTGAAATTAGCTAATTTTTCTAAGTAAAAAGTATTTTGACGGAAATTTTTTGCACTATATGAGTCAAAGCCGTGTTTGTGGAAGATTAAGTTCACGATATTGCAGTTGTGAATTAAAAAAAACAACAATGTTTAACAAAATGTTAGAAAAATTATGAAATTTCGGCTCTAATCATTTCGATCTTGGACCTCATTAGTAAAGAAATAAATATTGTACTAGCATGCTCGTAAGTTATATGCTTCGAGCCTGATGGTTCTATCACTTGATGGAGCCAGCAAGTTGGTGTCGTATATTTCCTCTTTTATACAAAAAGGTTTTTGGTTGAATAAAATATAAGCTTTTTTCCAGAGTTCATTGTTTTTCTATACCATTACCCAATTTGCCACAGGGCGAAGACGACGTCGTTACGTCGTCGTTGCGACCACAATATAACCAGTAAACAACCTTCGGTGAATTTGGCGACTGCCTTCCTCGGGGATGAATATGCTAGGGATGAAATTATTGGTACACTCGCCTTCCAACCACGCAGGGTTGCTTTTAAGAAACAAAAAATAATTAACTCCAAATAGTTTCAAAAAGTATAGTGTAAAAATTTATTGAATAATTCCACATTCATGTGTCATTTTCTAAACGACTTAAATAAAACGCATTTCATAACCTTTTTTGTGCAAACGGCATTTGCGAATTGATAGAAAAGTACTACGGATGGTAAATTTTTGAATTTTTGTGAATGAAAATTCTGAACCCAGCCTGACGGTTTTGAAGAGTTTTTTTGTACTAATTTTATTACTAAGGCGTCTAATAAATGCATGGCTTTTAGTTCTAGAAGAATAAATTTCAGTTAAGACAAGTCTTTTTTGTATAATCTCTGATTTTAATTGCTCAACTTCTTTTGCACCAGAGCAACTGTCAAAAATTTCCAGCAATAAAAAGTTACGAATTGGCACAGCAGAAATGTAAATTTGTCTCGCCATAATAAAAAGTTTTTTCAACATGGAACTTTTCTACTAAGGGCCTGTGCCAATCGGTAACTTTTTTCTCCGTGGTGAGACGGGGTGGAAAAATTTGCTATGGTGTACAAATAAATTGAATTTTGCTGTGCCAAATGCGGAGTAAAATTTTGACAGTTGAAAAACCAAACAGACGCTCGTGCGAAAGCTTTATTTTTGTGTGTTGCTGAAATTCTTAAAATTTATATTTATTTTATAATTTGCAAGTAACGTACGCTTTTTATATGCTGTTTCAGCTTTAATTTTCATGTTCACTCCTTATTACCGCCAAGCAATATTATGTGTATACATGGTTATAAGCTGTCAAAATTTTACCTAGCCCCATGAGCTAGGTAAAATTTTGACGTTCGTATTCACCACGAGAAGTGTCAAATTTTTACTTTGATCCTTCAAAATTTTCTATTTTGGGCCTGTGCCAATTAATAGAAAAGTACTCTGGATAGTAAATTTTTGACAGCTTGAGGTGAATAAAAATTGTTTATCCAGCAGGGCTAGTGAAAATTTGGCAGCAAGCAGTAGCTTTTTTTCTTTAGTTTTCTAGCCGATAATTATCAGGAAAAAGAGGAATGGGATCATTGATGGAATTACGGGCGATATAAAGAAATAGTTAAGAAACGAAACTAACAGAAAATAGCAAGTAACTACCTGATCGGTGTATTTGACATTTGAAAATATTTGACGTAATTTTTCAATCGCGTTTTATATATAAAAACTATTCACAAATACATTTTACAATTTCATCAATATTTAATTATTCGCAAATTTTAAATAGAAATAAACAAATAAAGCAAACTTAACCTCGCTTGTTTGCGCTTCAACAGGTGTGTATTCATTTTGGCAGATGTTATATTCAGCTAGTAAAAATTTTACATGCAGAAATTATCAGGAGAGGCAAAAAAAGAAGAGTGTAAGAACGAAAGCCGCTAGTCTTTTGGGTTGAGAAACTGTTTCCAGCAAAAACTAGTGATAATTATCTGTAAAGAAACAAAGCTTATATCACGAAGAATACAGAACAACGCATGTATACACATAAATTAAAGAAAACCAAAGCGAGTGGATATTAGTGAAAAATTATTGTTTATTGCTAAAAGGTATAATAAGTACATGGATTTCAGTACCAGAAGAACTGAAATCAGCAAAGGCAAATATTTTCTCTATAATTGCTGCATTCTATTACTTGCTAACCCGATAGCCTTCTTCTGCATGAAAGCAACTGTCAAAAATTTCCAGCAGTAAAAAGTTACGAATTGGCACAGCAGAAATGTAAAATTTTCTCACCATAGTAAAAAGTTTTCCACCATAGAACTTTTCTACTGATTGGCACAGGCCCTTTCTATCAATTGGCACAGGGCCTAATTGACATGAAATTACTATCTCAACGCTCGGAGCGCTGCCACTGAGGGCCTTTGCCAACTGATAAAAAAGAGAAAATTTGGAAAGACCAAACAAAAATTTTGAGATTTTTCGTTGTGAATACGAATACCATAGTTTTTACCTAGCTCATGGGACTACGCAAAATTTTGACAGCTTGTAAATATGTATACACATAAAGTTGTTGGCGGTAATAAAGAGTAAAAATCAAAATGGACAAAAGAACAAAAAGCGTACGTTAGTTGTCAGTTATAAAATAAATCTAATTTATTTACGAATATTTGTTTATTCTATTTATTGAAAGGCAACCACGCGGAAAAGCTTGTGTTAATTATATTGATAACAAAACCTGGCAGCTCGCACGTTGTCTAAATTCTCAAGTAACATAAAATCCACAAAAGAATACATTGCTTGTATTACCATCAATACGTCATGTATAAATTTTAACAACACACAAAAATAGAGCTTTCGCATGAGCGTTTGTTTGGTTTTTCAACACCATTTATAATTTTATTTTAATAAAATCACGATTTGCCAAATACTTAAATTTATTTATCTAATAATAATGCAGCACACAACCCTGAAATCTAAGAAAAAGTCTGAGGAAGGCAATTAAATATCAGCA